TCTCCCCTTAAGAAACCTTCTCTTCTCCAGGCTGAACAAGCCCAGCTCTCTCAGCCTGTCTCCAGAACAGAGCTGTTCAGGCCCTTGGAGCATATTCACAGCATCCTCTGGACCTGCTCCAACAGGTCTATGTCTTTCTTGCACTCGGGACCCCAAAGCTGGATGAACACTTTCCCCAGGCGAGTCTCACCAGAGCGAGCAGAGGGGCAGGATCCCCTTGGCTTTCTGGGCTGTGAGCACACACTATTAGTTCACATCCAGTTTTTCATACAGCAGTATCTCTACTCCTTCTGCACAGGGCTGCTCTCAATCCATTCATCCCCCAGCCTGTACCAATACTAGTCATTGCCCTGACCAAGGTGCGGGACCTTGCACTTGGCCTTGGTGAACTTCATGAGGGGAACACTAGAGATGACAGGAATTCCTGCCCACAGGGAAAAAGAGAGGTTCAAGGTCATTCTCTGTCCCTATTCTTAACTGGCCAGACACAAGTGAGATCTAGTCCAGACATCATACACCATACTAATGTGGCCTGTGCTTGGGATATCAGATCCTTTGGGGAAATCAAGCCTTATTTCAGGGTTTATCAGTTCACAGGTCATGTAACACAATACTGGGTGGTTTTCCTGACAAGACTTGACAGTTTCCTATGAAGAAAATAGATTTTTCTTGTAATCCCTACCCATAATAAATGCAATTAAAATTCTAAAATAGCTAGCCCCAGAAAAAAAAAAATCAAATACAAAACTGAGTTACGCTAAAAACTATGCCTAACGACTAAACAGTGCTTTCTCTAACTAGCCAGGTAGTAGCAAACAGTAGAAGCCTGCCTGAATCCTGAGCGCGTTGGTAAGAAGACGGAGCAGGGACGGCGCGGGAACAGGCCCGGCCCACGGCACAAGCCTCGCCGTGTCCCGGCCGAGCTGCGGTCGCCACCGCACGGAAAGACGATGGGCTCCGAGAACCCGTCACAGTCACAGCAGTTCCGAGGCCGTAAACGTGCGGGTCCCGCCTGCCGGCAGGCCCGGCCTCTCCCGTCACGGCGCCTGCTACCGAGGCCCGGCCGCCTCGGAGTCTCAGGCGGATCGCGACCGAACCCGCTCCCGTAGACCAGTCCCGCACCGACCGGGAAGAAACCGGCCAAGCCGCGGAGGGCTCCCAGCGGCTTCGCTCAGGCCGGCCCCAGAGGGCCAGCCCCCCCCCACCGCCAGCTCTTACCCACCGGCAGCCCCGAAGCGAGGCCAGGCGCCGAAGGCCGCAGTCTCTCCGAGAGGCTTTGCGTTACCCCTGACAACGGGGAGAGCCCCGGCACGGAAACTCCCGACCTGGGCCGAAGAGCCACGGAAACAACCGAAGCCGTCCCTTGGCACAGCGGAGAGAGACGGAAAGCGCCGAGCTCCTGGAAGTGGAGGTTCCATCACAAACACACCAAGCCCCAATGCGACAGACTGGGACTTAGTGAAATACAAACACAACTCAGAACCGCGCGTGACTGTACAGCCCAGAGTACATCAGCTTCTTCAGAGCTTTTGTGGGAAGAGGAATTGGGTAACTTTTTACGATAGTGGCCAACTTTTTCTAGTAACACCTAGTGACATACTGAATTGAGAGCAGCCCTGAAGAGAAGGACTTGGAGATACTGGTCAATGGGCAGCTCCCCATGACCAGACTTCAGTGAGTGCTTGCACCCAGAACCCCCTTTGTGCAACAGCACAAAAGGGACATGGAGCTGTCTGATCTGGAGACAGGCTGACAGCTGCATGATTTCTGTAATGCTATTTGTAAACTCTGTGCTAGTTCAAGGTTTTTTTTCACTGGGTAGACCACTTCATGATTTACACAGTATTACAATTTAACACTCTTTCATGGACACCCCCTTGTCATAGGGAAAGAGCTTGCATGCCCTTGTGAGGTTGGGAGCTATGCTAGTGGTGGCATATGCATCCGGTAGGGTCTCCCATGCCAGACAGGTCTCAACTGAAGGGTCAGACAAAGTGTGTCCATAGTCAGGGTGGGCTCACTAGCCTTTGGGAACCAACCTAGGAGAAGGACAACTCTAATTTCAAACCCAGGGAGATGGAGCTCTTTTAGCTCTGTAATGCCATCCATCTAGGAGAAGCATACTCTAATCAAACCTACTACGTGAGGACTTTGCTGTCACCATCCAAGCTTGCTAGGCCCTGGCAGATAAACCTCAGGTGTAAAGGGTGGGGCCAGTTCCGCACACGCTGTGCCTCACCTTAATAAATCCACTGCTCAGGCCCAAAGGGTTTACCCACACTTGCAAAGCCCTGTAGCGACAGGTGAGGGATAAAACGGCAGCTGATAAGGTGCAAGTGTTAACTATTCTAAAAACCGTTTAAGTTATGCTATTTCTGCAGCTTTGTTATAGTTTCATTCGGTGGTTACATTTTCAGGAGTGAGACCCAGCATTTACACCAGAATAGCTTCTGAATGATTTCAGGGGTGGGGTTGTCCAGCTTTGCAAGACATTAGGCTGTACCTTCATTGGATTCGTGAGGTACAAGCCCCTTTACTAGATATTAACCATTTAAATGAAAAAGGGGTACGGGGTACAGGGTACTTAAGCGTGCAAAGAGAGAAAATGCCTGGCTGTGCCCATTACCCCGTCACTTGACAGCAGCCGTTGTGGTGGCACACAGCTCCATCTAGGGACAGACTCTGCATCCTGCAAGGGGCTGACCTTCACGGCCTGGTTCTTGGGCCTCCTGTACAAACTTTCCAGGTAGATGACACTGACCTTCTTTGGAGCAGCCTCACTGCCGAGGTTGATTTGGGCATATGTATTTTGGACGCCGTTCTCAATCTGGTTAATTATCTTTCATAACTGCAGGATCAGTTAATGTTTTTGTAGGTGTAAAGCTGACTTGTAAATTCCCTCCAAGGTACAGATTCTCAGCTCAAACCTGTTTAATAAAAACAAACAAAAAAAGAATTTTATTACATGCTTTTAAAATCTCAAAAGAGATTTGACTAATGTCAATAAAACATCTTTTAAAGCAAAACTAAACAATGAAGTTCCTCAAAAAAGCTCAAAGCAAAATTAAACCTTCTAAGTTACAAGTATTTAATGTTTAGATATGTTTTGGTGCTTCCAAAACACTGATCGTTGCAGTAAAACAGTTCAGGTAATGTGTTGCATGAGATGCTTTTCTGAAGAGAGGATCCCTGAACTGGTAACAGTTTTGGAGGTTGTTTCATAACACTTTCCATGAGCATAAAGGATCATCTTCATTATTGAGCATCTGAGATGACTGGTACAGGTTTTGGGACATAACCAGAATAGTGGAAATCATCCTGATATTTTTACTGCATGCACCTTTGTTGAAAACAAACAACGTTTTAGGTGAGTAGTAATTTTCTTTGGTCCCCTTTTTATTTCCTAAGCAGCATACACTTTTTGCTGCTTTTTGTCTTCTGAATGTCTGAGTTATTTGCTCTACTTAACTAGCTCAGATTTGTTAAGTTTTGAAATCAGTCTCTTGTATGATAAAGTGTGAAGACTTTCTTAAAGTTACCAGAAAGCTATAACCTTCTCCCTACCTGCCTAAGTAGCTTCAAAATAGTAGTTAGCATTATCTGTGTGATTCCTGATACTTTGTATGGTAATATCAAAGTACAGAAGGTTAATATAACTTATGAAACAATTTCAAATGGCAAATAAAATCACTGCTTCTTGTAAAAGATCACATAAAACTGAGATTCAATAATTAGTTACTGCTGAGTATTACTACAATAAACAGATAGCTGTGTGTTAGAAAATAAAAAACTATTCCAACAACCCTGAATATGAATAGAGGCTGGGGAATGAAAGGATTGAGAGCGGTCCTGTGGAGGAGAAACTGAGAGTACTGGTGGATGAGAAGCGCCAGTGACCGGACTTCAATGTGTGCTTGAGTCCAGAACCCACTGTGTGCTGGGCTGCATCCCCAGAGCATGAGCAGCAGGTCGAGGGAGGGGATTCGCCCTCTCTGCTGCACTCTGCGGAAGACCCCTCCTGCAGTCCTGCACCCAGCTCTAGGGCAACAACACATGAGGGGAGTGGAGCTGTTGGAGCAAGTCCAGAGGAGGCCATGGAGATGCTGCAAGGGCTGGAGCAGCTCTGCTCTGGAGACAGGCTGAAAGAGCTGGGCTTGTTGAGCCTGGGGAAGAGAAGGCTCCAGGGAGACCTTAGAGCAGCTTCCAGTGCCTAAAGGGACTACAAGAAAACTGGAGACGGGCTTTTGACAAGGGCCTGTAGGGACAGAACAAAGGGGAATGGCTTTAATCTAACAGAGGGGATATTGAGATGAGCTCTTAGGCAGAAGTTCTTCCCTCTGAGGGTGCTGAGGCCCTGGCACAGGTTGCCCAGAGAAGCTGTGGCTGCCCCATCCCTGGCAGTGTTCAAGGCCAGGTTGGATGGGCTTGGAGCAATGGGCTCTAGTGGAAGGTGTCCTGCTCGTGGCAGGGGTTGAAACTGGATGAGTTTTAAGGTCCCTCCCAGGCCAAACCATAGACAAGAGAGAAGTTACATGTTCAGTGTTTTATTTCAGGGACGAAATGAAGCAGTGTGGAAAGAGGTGGGAGAGGAGTTTAAATACTTTATTTAAATATGTGGAACATGGAGGATGGTAATATATTGTAAGAGTTTTGGAAAAACATTCTTTTTATTAGATACATCATATTGCCTCTTGTGTGCAACATTTTAGCATGGATCCTTAATGTTCATTCTTAAACATTTGTGTTTTCTACTTCAGCCTTTTTGGGGAAAATATTGTTTCATTTCATAAGGTTTTTTGATTTGCACTGGTTTGAAACATCGTATTTATGTAATATGAAATATTACATTTATGCAATACTATGATTTGCTAAGAAATAATGTGTGTGTGGCAAGAGATCTGTCAAATATCGATAATCTGTTTGGGTGATTTCTGTAATGCCATTTGTAAACTCTGGGTTAGTTCAAGGGTTTTTTTGCTGGGTAGACCTGTGCATGATTTACACAGTATTACAATTTAACAGAAGCTTAATGGCTTTTAAAATGTTGGTACAAGCTGTAGTTGCCAAGTCACCCAGTACTGTTGTCAGTGCCCATAGAACGACACTATTCCATTTGCATGTGAAATTAATGTAGGAAAGATGTATTTAGTGTGCGTGGTGTAGTGTTGGAGTGTTTCTAAGCAATTAAGACCTCCCTATGCACAGTTTTCTGTAATCTGTATTCTGCTGCAAATCGTACCAATTCTTAGCTACCATTCCTGTTTCAGAAATTATTATTAATACTGAAGATTTCAGAAGCCATCATTTGTGCACATGTATGCAGAAAGTTTACTTGTAGTTTAAAATTATTTAAGTGACTCCCTTCTGGATTTCCTAGACAGGAAAAAAGGGAGTAAGTTTTGGATTATTGCTCTGGTGAGCCACCATAGTCTGTATCCTGAGACAAACTAGAAGACAAAAGAATGATGGTTATTTTTACCTTTTTAGCACTTGCGGAATATTTTAAGGTAGGAAGCAGCAACTTTGATTTTTGTAGCTAAAAACTGCTGACTAAAAGCTATACCTCGTTTACACGTACTGCAGGTTCTGTGCATTATGTGGATGAGAAAGGAAAGACAAGGCATGTATTGTCCACAGACAGTCTGATCCAAAAACTTCTGTTCATGGAGGAAAGAGAGGTTTTAGTAGTGATAACAGAGAACCTGCAATTGTCCTTGCATGCAATTACTCCTGAGGGAGAGGCAGAAGAGCTCATGAAGGTAAGAGAATACAGGGAAAAGTTGTAATGTTTCATCTTTGTAAGTGTTTGTTAGGGTTTTTTGATTATCACTTTTCCCTTAGAAATGAATCAACTCTCATTTTTATTTCTTGGATGATACCTTGATGAGCAAATACATCCTCATTTAAAAGTGGAAGAGAGTGATGTGTTACTGAACTTGGAAAGATAAATTTTCATCTTGCCTTCCTGTTTTTTCTTGATTTTTTTTTTTGTTCTGACCCTATGTTAATCCTTTTGCACTGCATTTACCTTGTCTAAGTGAATTAGAGAAGAATTGGAAATTCCAGTATAATCAAATATTCCTTAAATTTGGATAAATAGTTGATAATCTGTGTCTTTGGTTTTATTATCATCAGTTGCTCAGAGCTGTTTTGCCTTTCAGATCAGTAGAAGTAGCACCTTCTCTTGATGATACTGTCTTTGCAAATCTGGCAGATGGTTTAGTTCTCACATTGTTGAAGGGTTCTTCATAGCTGCAAAGGCGAGGAGGCTTTTAAAAAGTTGCAACCTGCAAGTCACAGAATCACAAATAATACCATAGTGACCCAAAAATTATTGTGTAGGGATAAAACCCGAAGTGACCTCATCCAGAACTTGTAATCGCCTTGGCTCAAATAAAACACTGTACTGTTAGAGAATACTGCTTGGGGAGATGGCACTCAAATCTTCACCTTCCTAAGACTTTTTTTGCTTTTCATTTCAGACGGAGAAGGCTGGGCACTTCTGTATTTCAGGAGTGTCCACTTCCTGTAAATCACTACTTATTTTTAACTAGAAGTAAGATTTGGTGCTTCATATTTTAAGGCAATCTTCATAAAGTGCTAAGAGAAAATGTAGTACAAGAGAAAAATCCCTGCTCCTTACCTACTTCATTAACCCACTACGAGGTTTCTTTTATTAAATTTATACATCATATAATTGATGCATTTAGTGGTGATCACTGCCTGAGAGGAACTGTTGGTCTGTCTGAACTAACAGCTGTAGTTATTCTTATGTTTTAACTTTTTAGCCAAGCTACACAATTCAGCTGCTTACTCTCTTTCAGCATGTTTCTCCTACCTTCTGTAAATTTATTTATTTGCTTATGGTTGGCAGGTGAAGTTGAGTGGGAAGACAGGTCGTTCTGCAGACATCATTTTGATAGACCACAGCCTTATTGTTACAGCACTAGGTGAGACAGTCATCAGGTAAGAATCCTGTTTTAAAACTGTTCTGGCTGCCCATTAGAAGTGCCATCTAAAAGGTTTGTGGTCTGCAGTGCACTGAGTATTTTTATTGAACTGTTTTTTGGGTTTGTTTTTTGTTTCTTTTTGGTTTTGTTTGGTTTTTTACCAGTTAAGAAAAACTTCCGATATTTTCTAATTTTGTTTCTCAAAGTAAATAAATGAAATGAAAAATCTGTGTCCTTGCAGTCAAAAACTAATTCTATATATCTTTCTCTCTAGTTACTTTATTTTGTCAGGCAGTACTACCCAAATCTCTCTCTTTCTCAAGCACTGTTACTGATTTCTTCTGAAAATACACCCATTTGTGTTCTTGCATGAAAAAAATAATGACTTTGCTGTTCTTCCTATTGTTACTATCTGATTCTTGGGGTAGTCCCAGCATCAGCAACAGGAAAAAAGTGCTTGCTTTTAAGAATGTGTATGTGTTGCTGTAATAGAAGACAAGAATTTGTTACTTCTATACCTAATGATTTAAACTAAGTAAGTTAGTTTGCCATGCTTCTATGTTACCATGTTTGTTCTGTAGATTTTATATTTTTTTCATCTTAAAAAAACCCAAACGAACAAAACACAAAACAACCCCCTAAATCTTTTTCTTCCCTGTCTTTACTAAGACTTGTTCTACCTGTTTCCTCTAACTTTTTCTGGGGGGTCGGGGTGTTCCGTTATGTCAGTAGTTCACTTTCTTGAGCCTCTATCAGCTGCTATCAGACAAAATGATCTGTTGATTTTGTGAGATTGTGATAAAGACCAAGTATCAAGAAGGAATATGTTTGATGACAATATTCAGTGCTAGAAAATAAACCTAAAGGATTTAAGTAGTCTAAAGGATTAACGGTTAATCAAGGAATATCCCTAAAATAGAGAAGGAGGCGTAAGTAGGGAGAAGGAAAATTAGAACTAGACCTCACTTCTTTCTATTCTATTTTTCTTGAAGCTTGGTTTGCTTCTGACTTCTTTCTTCACAGGAAAATATCACAAAACATGCTGCAGGTTAAAAAGTCAAAGCGAAAGGAAGGTGATTGTTAAGAAATTCACATTCCAGAGGCAGCTGTTGGCAATTTAATTTTAAAGATTGAATGATCTGGGCATTATGGAAGTAGCAAATTAATGCCATCTACAGCATCCTATTATTGACTGTGTTTAGCAAGACACCTGTAAGGAAAAGCATTGTTAACGCTTTTGTTTTGTATATCTTAGGTTCTGGGATTTGGACCGAGATGAGAACTATGTGCTCTCTCCAGATGTGCAATTTGGCTTTGAGGGAGGAGAATGTATTAACTGTGTTTCTTACTGCAGTGCTAAAGGTGAGAAATAACATGTCAGCTGTGGTCTCTGGATCCTAAACCTCATTTTCAGCTCCCTGCATTCAGTGCAGTATGTTCATCTTGTTACTGAGGGTTTCGGTAACAGCATGTGATGTAGAAGTGTTTTAGTTCAGATCAGGAGTGTGCTTTTGAAGGTACAATGAGATTATTAGATACTCAGTGTCTCAATGCAGAGTTATCTCCTGGCACACAAGCTGAATTCCCTGTGATGACACTGAACTGGTCCACGTGCTCCTGTGGTCCACCTAATGCACTCCAGTATGTTGTGGTCATTCAGTCTAGAAGCCCACACTAGAGGTGATGTGAAGCGGAACTCACCAAACATGTATGGCATGAACGTCAAGTCCTTCAGACTGATGTTTTCTACAGAGCTACTTCTGTGCATCACCTTGTTTGCCAGTGTAGGCATAGCTTGTGTCTGCTAGAATGGTTGTCAATCATGACTTGTCATGGTGCCTACAAAACCAACTATTCAAAAATAAATCATTAAAATTAAATCTGATATATTTAAAAGATAACTTCAGCTGGTAGCTTAGAAAACGGGCCTTGCCTTGTGAAACTTCTCCCATTTTGTCTCCAGTTCGGGACTAGGATGCTGGTTTGCAGTAAGGCAAAGAAATAGATGCTGCTATAAAAAGGCTTCTCAGTACCTTAGAAGCGGGACTAGGATACTGGTTTGCAGTCAGGCAAAGAAATTATTCTATGATTCTATGAACTGGATGCTGCTAGAAAAAGGCTTCTCAGTACCTTAGAAGCAGAGCTTGGCTGCTTGCTGCTTCCTATAATGTGGGTTTGGTTTTTTGAATTTTAATGTACAAAATGCCTAAAAGGTTTGTGAATGGCAGGTCTCTTGGCAGCTGGTACTAACAAAGGGAGAATAGCTATGTGGAGGAAAGCTGCAGGGTCTGATCAGGGCACACGGGCTTCGGAGGCCAAGAAGTGGAAGCTCCAGGCACCTACAGAACTTGAAGGAAGTGTCATTCAGATAAAGGTAAGACAGGAAGGTGTCTTCTTCACAAGCATTAAATGAATAGATCATCTTTGTGCAATAGATCAGTATGATCACTGTCATACAGATGTGTGCACCAGCAGAGGCTGGTTTTCCTTCAGAAGAAGGATGAAAAACCCATATGGTCAATAACTTTGAAAATTGAAACAGTCAGATATATTACCTGTTTGTAGCTATTCTGTTACAGGCAGGGTTGAAATGCTCAGTATAACATACTGAAATGCAAGTACATCACTCTCTCTGGGAGAATTACCAGTCATGGCATCTTTAAATCCAAACGTTTTTTTTTGTCTTATTGACAAACCCTTCGGATTCAGCACCCTGAAATGTTTTTCTGAAAAAGACAGATTGTCAGAAATGTCAAATTTACAGACATTTATTAAAATAGAAAGCAAGGAAATCTGAATAAATGAATTATTTTATTTGTAGATAATTTTCTTTTTAGTCACTTTTTCAACATAAAATTTGCTCTTAGTGGTAGTTGCAAAAATAAAAAGATGTATTTATAACATTTTATAACAGATTTTTTTGTGGGAAGATGCACAATCTGAAAGGCAATGCTGTATTAGTACACAAAATGATGCCTTCAGATGTTTTCTTCTCAGAAAAGGTGTCTTTAGTAGCTAAGTTTTTAGGTGTGACAGACTAGATGTGAATGATAAGTTTTCTCTTGCAAATATGCAAAACTTTGCTTTAAAACATTTCTTCTGCTATTTATAATATTTGTAATGCTGAAGGCTGTAACGAAAGGTCCAGGATATAGGAAATAGCATGTGGCGTTAGTATATCATACATCCGCTAATACGTTGGGGGAAGGGAAGAGATGTAGGTGTTTATGTCGGCTTGAGCATTCAAGCATTTTCCGGATCACAAGATACGGAGCGCTGTCCAGAAATAGCACCTTGTTCCCAATGTTCGTTAGCATAAACAAAAGCATTGCAAAACGTTGTCAACAATCACTGTTCTTTTATCTCCTGTTATGAAAGATTTAAGTAGTCTGAAGTATCAATGGTTAATAAAGGAATATTCTTAAAATAGAGAAGGAAGCGTAAGTAGAGAGAAGGAAAATCAGAACTAGACCTCACTTCTTTTCTATTCCCTCACACACTCCCCACCTTTGCATTCAGCCTTAGCAGCCACCTGTACCCAACATATTTTCAACAGAAAGAATTGAAGACTCAATCCTCATTCCGCTGTTGCCTCCACAATCATTTGCAGTTCCTCTGATGTCAAACTTCTACACAGATGTGAAGCTGCCAAACCTCTGGCACAGCTGTGAGCAAGAGTTTCTGCATGCACTACTTATGTTGACTCCAGCAAGTGTGACATAGCAATTCATGTGCTGTTTCATACCATTTCCCTTTTCCAAGGATACAGCAATTACCTGGATACTTCTGACAAAAAAAAAAAAAAAAAAAGATCAGTTTTTTAGCAAGTAGGGAAAAAAAAAAATGGTGGGATTTAAACTGCATTAAAATCCACTGTGCCTCTTCCAGATCTCAGGGATAGGTTTTAGCCAGAGAGACAAAACACTGGCTTTGCACCTTCTTGCTACTAAATCAGTGATTTGCTCTAGAACAAATTATTTGCTGAGCAGCAGAACTGGCAAAGTCCTGTTTCCTGCAGCTTTCCATTTTTTCCCTTATGAGGCATCAACTCTAACAAAGTCATTCATGGCATCCTGGACAGGTAATGCCACCATTAGCTCACTCAGGTGGCACTCCCACAGTCCAGTCAGTAATTCACTTCATGGCTCTGTCCAGCTGACTGTTTGCCCTGTGCCCATTGTATTTTTGATATCATCATACCTGAGTATTTGAGCAGACCGTATATGAAAATGTCTTGTTTTCTCAGACAACCAGCCTAATGAGGAAACTACTGTAACTGCATAGAGTCACAGTACAATCAAGTACAATTGCACACAGTGCAATCAAGTCAGAGCTACCTGGCCAGTAGGAGCCTTAAGCCATCATCTGGTCCATCATCCCTTTCTTGGCTGGAAGAAAATTAATCTAAAAATCCCCCAAACTGCTTCTGGTCAAGTGACCATTTTTACAGCTTTCATAATTGCCTGGTTCAATGTTACACAAAATTTTTCCCAATAAGTAAACAACATATCTCTACTTGTGCAGGCTTAGCTGGAAATTAAAGTTTCCTGCCCTCCAGTGTTCAACAGAGAAGCCCTGCTGTGAAAGATTTCTATCCCAATTAGACAAATGAACAGGGCACCATAACATCTTCCCTTCTGAGTGCTGCACTTGTAAAAGATGTCTAACAGCTCTGAGTCCCTGAAGTTCCAGGACAGGCTAAGAGCAGGCAGCAGGAGTGTAGTCATACACACTGCCTTTCATCCCTTCCTCTAGGGGCTGGACCTTACATGCTGAGAAAAAAAAAATAAAGTTGCATGGTTAGGTGCTTCCTATTTAGTAAGTCATAAAGGATCAACAACAAAAGTCTTACCTTCAGTTTAAATCCTCTTACCTGAATGAGAAAGAACTTCTTAGTAACATGAAGATCATCCATTATCACTTGCCAGATTAAACAACTTAAAAGCCTTTTAAGAAGAAATGAGTTATGAATGGAATATAATAGCTTCTAAGTAACCTAAAAGGTAAATACAGGACAACATCTGTTATATTGGCTTCTGACAACTAAGAGCTTTGGAAAAGTATTTTCATATTATAATTAATGTAATGATCATGCACATTAGATGCAAAAGTAAAACCACCTCAATATAAACCAAAAGTATTAACTTTGTCCTTCTGCTGGATGTTCTGCATTGTGTGCTCTATTTCTATTAAAAAAGCAATTTCTTATTCATAACTTAAAATACACAGGATGTGCAACAAATCCAGGTTAACCTTCTTGCCTAGTCTAGAAAACTCCACCAACAAACACTGAAAGACAATATGCATTTTGTACCCATGCAGGTCTGCCAAAGCAGGACCATGGACCCTTCCTACTGTTAAAAAAGTGAATGAGAGTTCAAATGTCTTTTGACATCTCAGCCTACCCCCTGTCTCTCAGCTCTAGTCCAACTCCTTTTTACTCAGTCTTTCTTTAACAAACATTTACACATGTAAGCAATTTCACCCACGGAGCATATAAGCTCCGTGGAAATATATGGCTCTGCAGATGGCAAATGCATTGTTTCCTGTCAGCATGGTTAAACTTGGTTTTGGTCAAAACAACTGGCAAAAATCAGCTGTATGATTTTGGGCTACATTATAACAAAACCCTACAAAACCAGACAAACAAAAAAAACCCAAACCCCAGACAACACCCCCACCAAAAAAAAACCCCAAACAACAACTTAAACCAAACCCAAGAAAAATATTTAAGATGTAGATTTAAATGCAAAGCTCTACAATGGAGACAAGACCATGAGGCAATCTGGCTCTTTTGTTTACAAATTCCATTTATAGCAATATACTTGGTTACATACAGATATGCTTCACAGCATATTTATAGGAGATGACACAGAGTCCAAGGCATGTTCAAGTTTAATTCACCATCCTAAGATTAAACTTGTAACACTCTCCATGGGAACCCATACTTTCAGAATTTAGATGCCATCATAAAGTTTTAAATTGTTAAGACTTCTAAGCTACAGATTATGTGACCAGCAGGTCGAAGGAGGTGATCCTGCCCCTTTACTCTGCTCTTGTGAGACCTCACCTGGATTATTGTGTGCAGTTCTGGTGTCCTCAACATAAAAAGGACATGGAACTGTTGGAACAAGTCCAGAGGAGGCCACGAGGATGATCAGGGGACTGGAGCACCTCCCGTATGAAGATAGGCTGAGAAAGTTGGGGCTGTTCAGCCTGGAGAAGAGAGGGCTGCGTGGAGACCTCATAGCAGCCTTCCAGTATCTGGAGGGGGCCTATAGGGATGCTGGGGAGGGACTCTTCATTAGGGACTGTAGTGACAGGACAAGGGGTAATGGGTTAAAACTTAAACAGGGGAAGTTTAGATTGGCTATAAGGAAGAAATTCTTTCCTGTCAGGGTGGTGAGGCGCTGGAATGGGTTGCCCAGGGAGGTTGTGAATGCTCCATCCCTGGCAGTGTTCAAGGCCAGGTTGGACGAAGCCTTGGGCGAGACGGTTTAGTGTGAAGTGTCATGGCAGGGGGGTTGGAACTAGATGATCTTAAGGTCCTTTCAACCCTAACTATTCTATGATTCTATGATTATGAGAATTCTCCTCAAAAGGGGACTATGGCATCCTTTCCCTGCTGTGATAGGCACAAGATTTAAAAATTATCTAACATTCTTCCCACAAGCAATTTATTAAGGAAATAAAATCTTTTGCAGTACTAGTTGTAGGATTTTTTAAAATCATTCTGACAGTTAACATGAAGTCACCACATCAAAGTATCGGAGAGCAGTGACTGGAAAACAGGCCAAAATGTTAGGTCAGCAAACAGAATTCACCCTTTAATTCAGTCCATTACTGACTGAAGCTTCGTAACCTGGTAGACAGTTGATTAAAAACCCAGATCCCAGCGAAGGGCAGCTGCAGATGTGCAAACTTCTCGGGAGGGCCGGGGCTGTGCACACATGCAGCCTTCCCAGGAGATGTCGCCTTTATCATCTCGTGTTATTTGTAACCTATACGAACCACAAAGAGCTTATTAACATCTCCAATTAACACCGCTATCCAGCAAGAAGCGCGCTGTGAGACGCGGCCTCGGCGGCACCGCTCCTCTCCTACAACAGCAACGAGAAGCGATCGGTTCTTCAACCGACACTACGGAGCCGCCAAGAGCACGCTGCGGCAGGATGCTCTGTACCAAGCCCCACGCCTCTCCGGTGGGCACCGTGGCACTACCCCTGCCACGGAGAGCATAGACAGCCCTGAGGAGCTCAGCCACGGGTCCCGCACCGCGACCCAGTTTCGCCTGGGCCAGTGGATTTCTCCGGGCTAGCGGAGCACCGCATCACCTCTATAGCCAGGCTAAGCCCCAGCACCAGCTGCAAGGCCGTGCGAAGGGCAGCTGAACCCGACGCCCCAGCTGCGCCCCTCCGTACCGCAGAAGTTCCGCTTTCCCGACAAGCAGTACAAGCAAAGCCACGTGCCGTGATCCGAACTACCATTGGTCAGGCAGCTGGTGATTTACCGGCAGTCTGACCAATGGCAGCCCCGACTCCGCCAAGGCCCCAGCTATACGACCCTCAATTGGTTTTTCTTTCAGCCAATCAGCCAGGCGTCGGGATTCACCTCCCCCTTTGACGGACGGACGCCCGCCAGCAGCTGCCTCTCCCTTTGCGCTCAGCGAAAGGGCCATCTCCCTACCCGCGCCGCGCTTTGTTTGGCT